CACTGTTTAGGAGCCCGCTTAAGTCCATAGAGTGACTTTTTGAGTCTATAGACTTTGCCTTCCATACCAGGTGCTTTAAAACCTAGTGGTTGCTCCATGTAAATCTCCTCATCTAGATCTCCATTCAAGAAAGCAGTCTTAACATCCATTTGATGTACCTGCAACTTATGAATAGAGGCTAGTGCAAATAATGCACGAATCGTTGAGATTTTTGTAACGGGAGAGTATGTATCAAAGTAGTCTAAACCAAACCTTTGAGTGAACCCTTTGACGACTAACCTTGCCTTGTACCGCTGAATCGAACCATCTGGCCTTATTTTCTTCCGGAAGACCCATTTGTTGGAGATTGGTTTGAATCCCTTAGGCAAGTTAACTAATTCCCAAGTATGATTAGACATTATCGATTCTAGTTCATCATTAACATCGCTTTTCCAAAAACTAGCAGATCTTATAGTTTCTTCAAAAGTTTTAGGATCCTCATCTAATAGAAAATTTTGAGCTATAGGATCTGAAATGGAGTCTAAATCATTTATTTCAGAAATAAAGGAAGTAATAAAGTCTGGTCCAAAAGAGGTTTCAACTCTTTCCCTTTTACTTCTTCTAGGCTCAAAATCAATTTGTTTAGAAGACCTAGTAGGATTACTAGAAGAAGTTGATGGAATATATTCTATTTGTGTTTCAATATTTATTCTCGGTTCCTTTAAAGGAAAAGTATTTTCAAAGAAAACAACATCCCTTGACTCACAAATAGAATAGTCTTGTAAAAGCGTGAATCTGTATGCAGTACTACTCGTAGGATACCCTATAAACATTGCATCAACGGTTTTAGGTCCGATGGTGGACTTCTTAAAGTATGGCAAACCCACTTTAGCCAGACACCCCCCACACTTTCAGGTATTGTAAATTAGGAGCGTATCCTTTCCACAATTCATATGGGGTAGAATCTAATTTCTTATGAGGAACTCGATTCAAGATATGAGTTGACGATAGAATGGCTTTCCCCCACATGTTATCAGATAACCCTGAACTTATTAGTAAAGAATTCATCATCTCTTTTAAAGTTCTATTTTTCCTTTCAGCTACATCATTCTGTTGAGGAAAATAGGGGGCTGAAGTTTCATGAATTATGCCATTCTTTTCACAAATATCTTTTAAGAAATTAGATCCATACTCACCACCTCTATCAGATCTAACCCGTTTGATTCTCCTATCTAATTGGTTTTCAACTTCTGTCTTATAAATAAGAAAAAAGTTTTCAACTTCATCTTTAGTCCTCAGGAGATAAACTTTTGTATATCTTGAATAATCATCTAAAAAAAGTTATGAAGTAGTGTTTTCCTCCTTTACTTTCAGTGTTTCTAAAATCTGCTAGATCAGTATGAATAAGTTCTAACAACTCAGTCTTTCTATTAGAAACAGTCTTAAAGTGAGGTCTAGTATGCTTAGCTTCTACACAAATCTCACATTTGTTAAAGCTAGTTGTGTCTAGTTTAGGCAAAACATTCATATTTATTAATTTCTTTAAAGAATGAATATTCACGTGTCCTAATCTAGCATGCCACATATCAATGGATTCAACAATATAAGCAGAAGTGGTAGCTTTATTTTCATTAAATTGAGTTTCTATGACAAATAAACCATTGCTTAAAAACCCTTTCCCAACATAATCACCATTTCAGGAAAGTACAAGTTTATCTGCCTCAAAAACTAACTTAATGTCTGCCTTATTCAGAAGCCCACCACTTATCAAATTTCTATGCAAGGCATGTACATACAGAACATTATTTAAAGCCAGAGTTTTACCAGATGTCAGCTTGAGTAAAACCTTACCTTTGCCTAACACTTCAGAGTTGCTAGAGTTCCCCATGTACACACGTTCACATGCGTTTCCATCCTCGAATTCGGTGAAAAATTCATTCCTTGCGCAGAAATGCTTTGAAGCGCCAGTGTCAACAACCCATTCCGAACTGTTTTCCATCAGATTGACTTCTGAGACCACCGCAACAATGATCTCACCATCTTCTTCTACAACGTGTATCTGTGGCTTGTTTTCATTCTGGCGGTCTGAGCGGTGTTGGCATTGGTAAACTTTGTGGCCGGGTAAACCGCAGACATAGTACTTGAGCGTCTTTCCTTCAGGTTTGTCCTTTTCTGACTTCTTGAAGTTGGTAACCTTCTGAGGTTTCGTCTTTTTGTCTTGATTCCCACATTTCATGATCTTCTTAAATTTAGACTCAACCAAGTTAGCTCTAAAAGATAAATTACTCATAGAATTAGTAAGCTTATCTTTTAAACGGTTGGCTTCTTTAATCTTCATATGGCCCACGAGCTCTTCAAGCGAAAATTTTCTCTTTTTATGCTTAAGAGAGGTTCGGTAGTCAGACTAGGACTTGGGCAGCTTCTTAATGAGAACATTGGCTTGCAACACCTTGCACATTTGCATCCCTTCGGCGATGATGTCAGCGACTAGGTTCTCATAGTCATAGACTTGATCCATTATCGGCTTGTCATCAGTCATCTAGAATTTGAGCCATTCGCCGACAATGTACTTCTTGATGCCAACATCGTCTGCACCATACTTTTTATCGAGAGTATCCCATATTGCCTTGGCACTCCTTTCTCTAAGGAACATATCAAATAATTTATTTGACATGTGACTGAGCAGATGTCCTCACACCGTTTTGTTGTCTTTCTCGTATTTCTCGTAGGTAGTGAGCGCAACAGCGGCAGTTGCTAGGGCATCATCATTGAGGACCGCATCAGCATCATTACCGGTAACTGGGGTTGGCGGTATGGTAGGTGGTGGCTTGAGCAACACGTAGTCAAGATCAAGTAGCTCGAAGAATATCAGGATTCTTTGGGACCACCTTCTATAATTCTTTCCATCAAGTGCATCAAGCTTGGAAAGATCGGGTATCAATTTGCTCAAAGGTGTTGACATGATTGCAGTATATAGAATTCATTTCTAAATTGTTGGATATATAAACTACAAAACTACACCGTTAGTACTGACTGAAAATATAAACAGTAATTAAAAGAAACAGATTCGTAAACCGTGTCGTGGTATAACCACTATCTTAGAAACGAATTCGCCCCGATGTGTGTAATCGTTGTAGTAGGCGGACCGTCCCCCGAGGTTAACACGGTCGCTCCGAATTCCGTACACCCGAAATCGGAGTGGACTGCCGGTGGTATTGCTCTTCTTATCGGAAAGCACACAGAGAGAATATTTAGAAAACTCTTGGAGAGTGAATTCTGAATGTTGAGACTAAGTTGAGAAGCTGAATATAGCTCTCTATTTATAGGCTAGAAATAGGGTTAAAATCGTCCATAAAATTTCAGGATTAAATCTCTTCTTTGTAACAGCTGAAACGTCTAGATGAACTTGACTCAGTAATAGTCTAGATTCATTGCATCATTATTCAGCTGTTATAACTCCCGGAATTATATCATATAACCCCTGGAATTAAATCAAATAACTCCTGTAACTCCTAATATTAACAGCTTGTCCCCTTTGTACAAAGCTAGAAATCAGTCCAAATACATCCTAACGTTTTTTATTTAATTTAGGAAAAGCTGTTTAATTTCTGATAACTCTCATAAACCAGCTGTTATAATTTAAATTTAAACAATCCAGATGTGTCGAAGACATGTATTACCACGACCACGACCACGAGAAGTGTCGTGCCGAGTCGAGACGAACGGCGGTGGTGGCGGTGCGCGAGAGTCCCCCTTGTTCTCTTTGACTCAACAAGAAAGTGGAAAATCCAAACCATAAATACTCATTCCCAATAGTATTTCCAATACTACGTGGGATTGAGCATTACCAACATGGTCTACTCACGGATCCATCCGAGTTAAGCTTTAGCCAGCCTGGTGGTAGGGGTTTCCATATGATCTCTGATCGATCTTATCAAAAGAATGTATGAAAAATTTTCACTATCTAAACATCAAAGTAATAATTCATAAATGCAAAACACTAATAAACAAATAGTAAATCAATAGATTAATAAATTAGTAATAATTATTGATTAATAATTTACCATCTTTTTGTTATATGATAAAAAATAGTAATTATTATTTAGATTTTTTAATGAAATAATTTTTAAGTTAACTACTAAAACATTATAAAAATTAACGAAATACTTGTGAATTTATCGAATCAAATTAGATTTTACTCGCTTTAACTCATTAAAGTTTGTAGCTGAGTTCGAGTTCAAATTAAATCAACTTTAATCGAGCATTAACCAAAATTTACTTAATCAAATTCAAACACCTCACAAAATGCTCAACTCACTAATCACATGTGTCAATATTTCACTACTTTTTGGTCCACATTTGTTTATAGACTTGGCAACTTTTTTATTTTTAGTAAGGTATTACAATTTAAGTCTCATATCGTTAAATTATTAAAAAGAATCTAAATTTAGAGATTAATGTGGGCTAACAAAATTTTTTAGATATTAAATTAAAAAATATCAATTTCAAAGAATAAATAACTTTTAGCAAGTTCTCAAGTTCGAGTGCTTGTGTATGTAGAACATCCCTGCTGGGAGATTCACTCACCAAAACCATATGTGCAACGCGGGTTGGTATGGATTAATCAAGGCGATACTTTAAAACCGGAAGGACAACCAAAATAATATATATATATATATATATATATATAAATTTAATATCATAGAAAAAATTTATAATTCATAACTTTTAAAAACAACAAACTTTATTTCAATTTTAAACTATTAAAATTAAATAATTTAAACTGCAATTATTATTTAAAAAATCTTAAAATGAATAAATGATCAATTTGAAAGATTTAATATATTTCTGTTTATATATATTTCTGTTTATATATATATATATTTGTAATTCATCTCTACTCATGAGGTGAACGTGGATTTGATAACATGTTAAAAGAAAGAACGAATTAATTAAAAACTATCTTCTAATGATTAAGATATTAAGCTGCTCAATTGTTTTATCATTTTATGTGTGATTAGATTCTAAAATCTGTCTAAGCTTAAGAAGCTCAAGTACCTAAATCTGAGCCAGAATGCCATGAATAAAGAAAGTTTGAAGTTCTTGGGCCTACTTCCCTCCCTCCTCTACCTTGACCTATCGCTCAACAACATTGAAGGTCCCCTCACTGATATAGGTACGTCTGCACTTCCTTTTACACTTTAATTCGTAAAATAAAATTCGACCCGTCTCGATATTTGATGCTAGTTTTGACCCTGAACTATTTCGGTTCGTCGATGCAGTTGGCTAATCTAAAAACCTGGAGGTGCTTAACTTGTATTGGAATTACCTCTATGGAACTTTGCCCGTCCAAGGTATTCTAAGCCTAATGAATCTTTGGTATGCAATTTTTGTAGTAAGTGCTGCACAAATTTACGTTTCCTTTGGCAGAGCTGATGGGGTTTAGTAGTTTGGAGATACTAGATTTTAGCTACAATAACTTTGAAGGCTCCATCCCTCCAAGTATAGGGAACCTATCCACCCTCAAGGCCTTCTCCGTTGCTCATAATTTACTCGAGGGTTCTTTGCCGTCCGGTACGAGTTTCTCGACAGACTTATTGTTTTTTATTAATGTTACGGTCGATTGAGTCCTAACTCGATTGGTTTTCTCTTTGTCACAGGTTTGTGTGAATTGAAGAGACTACAAGAGTTGGATCTCAGCCAAAATCACTCTGGAGGAACCATTCCTCCTGTCCTATTTAATATCTATTGAGTTGTTAGATGCATCAGATAACAATTTTAATGGAACATTTTCAACGTCTTTGGTGCACAACCTCACGGCGGTATCTTGATTTTTGTTACAACGATTTCGAGGGTTTATTCTCGCTGAGTTCGATCGAAAATCACTCCGAGCTCCAAGTGTTTCAATTGATAAGCAACAATGGCAGGTTGCAGATTGGTACTGGGAGTCCTCCAGGGTGGTTTCCTTCGTTCCAATTGAAGGTTTTGGCACTATCCAACTGTAGTCTGAACAGTCATACCAATGTTGTTCCTAGCTTTCTTCGCCACCAGTTCGATTTGCGCATAGTTGAGTTGTGCGAAAGTTTTCCTGGTTGGTTACTCGAAAACAATACCAACCTTGCAACTCTGTTGCTAAGGAACAACTCTTTCTTCGGGGAATTTCAGTTACCTCCATTCGTTTTGATCAACACTGTTATGGTGGATGTATCGAGCAATCGAATTCATGGTCTTCCGATGAATATCGGAAAAATCGTTCCACATCTGGAGTATCTGGATTTATCCAGAAATGCTTTCGATCAAGACCTATTGCCCTCCATTGGTGACATGAGAAATTTGCAAGTTCTGGACTTGTCTTATAATAATTTCTCCGGAGAAATTCCCGAAGAACTGATCGCTGGCTGCGGTGATTTACGCGTTCTGATATTATCTGGTAACGAACTTCATGGACAGATTTTTCCCCAGCTCTACAACTTGAGTCAATTAAGAGTGCTGCAGTTGAATGACAATTACTTCAGTGTGAATATGTCGAATGTGTGACCAGAAGGAAGGCTACTAGGCAGACTTTATTTGTTGGACATTGGTTACAACTTCATGATGGGGAATATCGGTAGCTGGATCGGTAATGTGACATATCTGGACATACTCGTGATGCGGAACAATTATTTAGAGGGTCGGTTCGAGTGTGAAGCCGTTTCGCGTTCTTTGTATTATTTAGACCTGTCTCATAATCACTTTTCCGGTCCATTGCCTATATGCTCTCGGTTGCAGTATTTACACTTACAAGGGAACAGATTCAATGGATCAATATCAGATGCGTTTCTCAACACTTCACAACTTTTGGTGTTGAACCTCAAAGATAACGACCTTTCCGGGAACGTTCCCGATATGATCGGCTCGCTGAGTAGCTTGAGGGTTCTGCTGTTGAGCCAGAATCGCCTGACCGGTTTGATTCCAGAGGAATTATGTCGATTGAAACAAATAAGCATGATGGATCTTTCCATCAACTCCTTCTTCGGGTCAATTCCCTCCTGTTTCCGGATATCGGCTTCGGAAAGATCGAGCCTCGGTATTTCGATATTTCACATGAAAAAGTTTCTAATGAATGGGATTACACCACATATTTCAGATATGGAACTTTAAAGAAGGAATACAAGCTACATAGCACTGCTGAACAATCTGTTACACTTGTGGAAGTTGATTTCTTGACAAAACATAGATCAAGCACCTACAAAGGCAGCATTCTAAGTTTCATGTCGGGCTTAGATCTGTCATGTAACAATCTCTCCGGTCGGATCCCGAATGTGATCGGAAATCTATGCTGGATCCACACGCTGAACTTGTCCTACAACATGTTCACTGGACCGATCCCGAAATCTTTCTCCAATCTCACCCAAATCAAAAGCTTAGACCTCTCCCACAATGCTTTGAGTGGAGAAATCCCTTCGTCGCTGATCAATCTCTACTTCCTCGAAGTGTTCAGCGTGGTGTGCAACAACCTGTCGAGTAGAATTCCGGATTCAAAAGCTCAGTTCGGGACGTTTGATCGCAGCTGTTACGAAGGTAATCGATTTCTGTGCGGACAGCCATTGAACCAGAACTGCAGCACCGAATCACCACATCCCTCCGATAAAATCCGTGGATCAAAGTATGGAGAAATGGTATGGCATTGATGCTATAGTCTTCTACGTGACTTTTAGCATAACATACATCATTTTCTTTCTTACGTCCATTAGATTTTTTTCATTCGTTTATAGCGCAATAGTTTCAATTAGAATTTTTTTTTGTCCCTTTCTTCAGCCTATAAATAGGGAGGCTCCCTAAGCATCTCAACTCACACTTAACACTCATAAAACCTCTCAATCAAAAGCTTTCTAAGCTTCTTTTTCTCTATTGTTATCAGAAGAGCAATACCACTGGCAGTCCACTTCGATTTCGAGTCCACTTCGATTTCGGGTGTACGAATCTCGTAGTGACCATGTTAATCTCGAGGGACGATCTGTCTATTGCAGCGATTACACATATCGAGACGAACTTGTTTCTTTGACAATGATTTTCACCATGACACGGTGTCGGTTGTTCACTTGCTGATTATAATTTTTATTTGTCATGTCAGTGCTATTAGTGTGATTTTGTAGTATTCATTTCCTACCATGCTAATATGAAGTTTGCATTCATATTTTCCGCGAACGTGTGATCCTCGGTCGGCATAGAATGAGATTGTTAAATCAGAATTAATGGAGGAGTTCATCCGAATGGATTTGGTGCAATGTGATCACATGCAGAGATTGGGTATGTGCTACATGGAGACAAACATGGCTATGTCTGCAGGAAGCTGGTAGTTTAGTTTAATAGTTTTTCCCATTTTATATTCAACAAAAAGAAATTATAATACCAAAATCCAAAATTAGGTAACATAAAAACTACATTAATTCCAGTCCTTCAAACAAAACAAGTACCAAATCACCATCCCAACTAAGTGTCCCCGTTTATTTCAAAACATAGTTAATAACAACCAAACAACCAATTGGTTTAGTGGGATGCAATGTTTTCAAAACCGGACCGGACATTGAACCGGTGAAGGTACTGGTTCACTGGTTCAACCGAGTTCAACCGCGGTTGAACCGGATTTTATATAAAATAATATATTTTTTTAATTTTACATAATATTCAAAGCAATATTAATATATATGTAACACTTTTTTTAAGTTTACAATATTAAAAGGTATAAAAATATTACAAGACATAACATGTATAAATGAAAAATCATAAAATCAAGTGAAACAAAATGATTCAAATCAACTACAACATAATATTTAAGGCAAAACATATTAAATAATAAATATAATTATATAACTATAATCAAAAAAATAAAATTGGGGTTTAAAAAAATCATAACAAATGATGTCATTTGGTTTAATTGTTTAAAAAAAAAACAATCTCACATGGCTAAGAAACATAGAAGAGTATCCCAAAAGTTTAAAGAGAAAATATGAGAACAAAACAATCTCACATGGCTAAGAAACATAGAAGAGCATCCCAACTTACTTCTATAAATAATAGAGGTAATTTGACATTCAAAATCATGGAGCCTTTTGGTGAGCACAAAGCGAACTATTCTTTCGCTTCAATTGAGCTCAAATTTTAGGCTTCAATCGAACTTCTAAATTTTTTTTTGAGTTCGAGCCTTTTCGATTTAAAGTTTTAATATTATATTTCGAGTTGATAATTTTTAGCTCATGAGTTTTTGAGTCGAGTTGAGTTTACTTTTAAAGTTTTCGAGTTCGAGTCGAGCTCAGTAATACTCGAATTTGACTCGGCTCGTTGAACAAACGACGTTGTTTGGTTTAATTTTTTTTTAAAGAAAAAAAGTGAACTGGCGGTTCAAATCGGTTTTCCCGGTTTTCAGCCGGTTCACCCCGGCTTTCCCGGTTTTCAGCCGGTTCTTTATCGGTTCTGTGCTAATCCGGTTTTGGGAGTTAACCGGACCGGACAGGCTACCGGTTCACGGTTCAACCAGTCGAACCGGTCGGTCCGGTTTTAATAACATTGGTGGGATGAGATATTAGGTCCCTTAAGCAAGGTCAGGGGTTCGAATCTTGGCGATTGCGAATGAAGCAGACTGGGTTGGGAGGGTCGCCCTCGCCTCTGCAGTGTCCGATCTAGATTAATCGGTCAATAGATCATATACCAGTGATTAATTCTTTGTTTCCAAGCTCTCATTCCAGCAGTTTCAAGCCCTCGACGAACACTTTCTTTGCTGCTTCTTGCCCTTCTCCCTTTGCTGTCCATACTTTCCAGCTCTCAGGACCACAAATCTTCATTCCATTCACCAAAAGGCACAAGTAACTACCGTTTTATTATTTGATTCAATGATTTGTGCGTGGAATATGGTTATCTAATTTTTTTTATAATCATGGATGATACTTGTTCAAAATAATGGTTAGGCCTGTAAACGAACCAAACGCACACGAACGGAGGTATGCTCATGTTCGTTCATTTAATAAATAAACGAACAGGAACATAAACGAACAATTTTTTTTGTTCATGTTCGTTTATTAAAGAATATAACTTGTTCATGTTCGTTCATTTAATAAATAAACGAACATAAACAAACACAAACATAAACGAACACGAACATAAATTAACACAAACATAAACGAACATAATATTGAGCTCGAGTATTGTTGAGCTCGACTCGAACTCGAAAACTTTCAAAGTCAGCTCGACTCGATTCGAAAACTCGCGAGATTAAAATTATCAAGCTCGACTCGAACTCGAAATATAATATTGAAACTCGAAAACTCGCGAGCTTAAAATTATCAAGCTCGACTCGAACTCAAAATATAATATTAAAACTCGACTTGAACTCGAAAAGACTCGAACTCAAAAAAAAAATTAAGAGCTCGATTAAAACTCGAGACTCGAGCGATTGAAGCTTGATTCTGAGCTCGATTCAAGCTCGACATTGCCCCAAGCGCAAAGATGCTTAAACCTATTCTCCCCCATCTTCTTTTATATAAGTTACCAACCCCGAGCTGCTTGTTTGCTACTGATGTGGGATTGCATAACGTTCCTCCACTTTCTTTCTTCCTCCCTCCTTCAACAACAGTCGAGATGAACACAAATTGTGTTTCATGTGATTACCGACCTTAATCCTTGGGGATCAAACAAACATGTCCTTAGCTTCGTGCTATGTAGAAGTTGAAAATTGGGAGATGAGAGAAGTAGGTTGGTTTATTGTTCACACCAACTCATACATCAAAAACCATTCTTTCTCGGCTGGCTAAACTTCCATAACCGGATGGCGCACAAAATTTGTTTGATGAAACGCGTTAAAGAACATCTCAACCTATGGAATAAGGCCTCACCATTATTGGGTTATTGAGTTCAAAATAAGGTGACTTGAGTTGCTGGTTGATCACTATTTACTTGTAAATTCGAATACTCCATTATATATGAAAGAAAAGAAGATTATTTGAGTAGAAGAAAAGGTGAGAAAAGGTGCTTAATATTTAACATCCCTTCCGGAATCCATCACCTTTGGACTTGGTTTCGAAAGCAACCGGTTTCTGGGACTCCTCTTTGCTCATCGGATAACCAGCTAGTGGTGCAGTCACAGGGTTTCGACGCAGTGGATGTTGACGGTGTTGGGTATGCAGCTTATGGATCGTTCAAAAAGAACTAAACCATGTTAATATTGTTGGGTTTTCCAAATAAAATTGGGTTAATTATGGAATTGGTCATCAGAATATCAGATTAATTAATATTTTTAAGATACTTACAAATTGGTTACCAAAATTGATTTAAGAAGATTGAGTTAAACATAATTGAATGAACATAAACGAACATAACCGAACGAACATAAACGAACATAACCGAACGTTCACGAACGTAAATGAACGAACGAAACCTATGTTCATGTTCGTTCATTTAATTAAACGAACACAAAATCTTGTTCATGTTCGTTCATTTAATAAATAAACGCACATAAACAAACTTCCCGGTACACGATTCATGAACGGTTCGCTGAACGTTCAGTTCATTTACAAGCCTAATAATGGTCATTACGCTATATAACGGTGGCGACGAAATTTGAAATCGCTATTACTAAAAATAGAAGTGTAAAGTAGAATCACACAAATAATAGTTACGGCCGCAATTTGACAAATAGCAATCATTTACCGCAATAACAAACCATTATTCCCGCTACTCTTCTATTATTCTATTTGTTTTAAAAAAATCAACTTCTTTTTTAGAAAAAATAATAGGGTTTTATATTATGATCAAACTTTTAGATATTTAACAGACCATTATTCCCACTATTATTTTATTATTCTATTTATTTTTTAAAAAATCAACTTCTTTTTTAGAAAAAATAATAGGATTTTATATTATGATCCAACTTCTAGGTTAGCAGGCCTAGCGGAATCCGAGGATTCACGGCGTGTCTCCGGTGGCTTCAAGCTTCTTTTGTTCTATTACTTCTGCTCTTCTGGGTTTTGATTTCCTTTTGTCTTCTAAGTGTCCCAAGCCATATGAATTGGAGGAATCTCTTCGGCTGTACTGAGGGCCATCACCTGGATTTCTTTCCTCCTAGGGTTCGCGATGGTATCACTTTCGTCCAGCCTCCCCCTGAAGTG